TCGTTTGGATTATTCATGTTGCTCAGTGGTGTCTTCGAGGCCTGTTTACCTGAGACAGGAGGTGTGAATCTTTGTGAGACATTATGTAAGTTTAAATATTTAAAATTTAATTAGTGATTGTATGTCAATTTTAAGCACATGCAAAAAGAAATTTTCCTATCTGCGTAATTTTACTCAACGTCCACGTAATATATATTGAAGAACATTTTATACAATACACACCTTTTGTAGAAAGGGAGTTCATAGATTAAAAGCAAATCAATTTCAAACAACTGTATGAAAGAATAATTATAACAATTATATATGCAAGCCATACAATACAAAAGCTGTTATTATTTGAACAAGACATCGATTATTAATTAATTACGTTACTAATTAGGGAAGCATTGTGTTTCTTTTCTTCTTCTTCCATTGTATCGCTAATTGTTTTGCCTCTTGTCTCAGGCAAACCAACCACAAACAATCCACAAAGCCCTATCGACAAAGCAAATATCCCATACGATACAATTGCATTTCTTCTTCCAGCTGCAACTACAACTGGGCTGAATGCACCGCCGAGGACAAGAGCTTGCCTCACCAATGAAACCGCCGAGTTTCGCACACAAGTTGGAAACAACTCTGTGGTATATATCAAAAAGATGTTAAATGCAGTACAGGCGCTGAAGAAGGACACAAGCTCTAACCAAAGCTGTAATGTCTGCAACTTTCCAATTACAACACACATTATATTACAAACCCCACTCAGGATTGTGAAAAACAGTAAGGAAACTCTTCTGTCCACGTTTCCCACAATCAAGAAAGTAACCAGTGATGCTGGTAGCTCAGACAAGGCATTAAGTGCGACGCTCAAGTAGAGGTTGAATGCCAAATTACCAAGGCCTAATGGCATGCCATAATACACCATCCCAATGCCAAGACTTGCTATCATAGCTGTTAATAACCTTCGAATGCACCATCTTTTTTTTAACAAAATCTTGATAGCTGAGAAAGCATCATTTTGAGTTTCTTGCTGTAAAAAAATATTGGAAAAGCTCATGGTGATTCTACAGTTTTTAGGTGATGCAATACTCTTTAGAATCAGTACGGCTTCTAGTTTATGGCCTTGCACAAAAAGCCATCTGGGAGACTCATAAACAGATAATCGGAATAACAGGCTATAGAAAATGGTAGGAATCGAAGTCCATAGATAGAGAATTCTCCATGAAGAACCTCTATTTATATAAGCCATAACTGGTAACGATAAAAACCCTAGAGTGAAACACAAGAATCCAAGAGTCCCTACCTGGCCTCGCCATCGTTTCCCAACTAGCTCAGTTGATAAAACTAGCGCTGATGTTCCAATCGCCGCACGGCCGATTCCGCAAACAAATCTCTAAGCTGAGTATATCCATATATTGGTAGAGAAAGTGGCGAGTAGAGCTGATACAGACATGGCTAAACATGAGAGGAAGATCACGTTTTTGCGGCCCAGTGAGGAGTCAGCGACTGTGATTAGAAGAAGTCCACCCACAAGGCAACCCATGAAGAAAGAAGACGCAGGCAGTCCCGTGACGAGAGAAGTCGCACACTCCAGACCCCATTCAGATACAATCGATGAGTGTAGAGGTAAATCCCATGACCATGACGTCTTGGGAAGTTTGCAAATGTTGGAAAAAGAGTCACAAGAGCTGTTCACACAATGCCATTTTGGCTCCACATCGGTGAAGACACTGATGAATACTTCTTGTGCATCAAAGGTCCAAGCTAGTGATACAAAGATGGCTTGAACAAATTGCGCCCATCCAAATTCTCCAATACGCTCTTCGATTGCTTCATCTAGAGAAGGCGGACGTTTGGACTCAACAGAATCGGAACACGTGAGAAAAGGAGTTGAATCAGCCATTTGCAACTAGTACATCTCCAATTATTTTATGTTAGATAAACCCCAAAGACTACCTGCGGTCAAAGAGGTTTCTTCGCTTCTTTAAGTTTATGGATTCAAATTTTGAAACTACATATCATAATAATATTGTGATTTATCTGTTTCTTTAGACTTGTAAAGTGTTCAATTGACTTAAGATATTAGTTGATGTGTATATAAACTGGTCTGAACACTTTAGTTAAAAAAAATAAAAAAGGCAGATTATCAATGATGTATGTGTCTTAGTGCATTACGGATCTCTAATACTTTTTAAAAATGCCTAATTGGTTTCTTCAATAAATTAAGATTCCTAATTGTTTTTTCTACTCTTTGCATCTACCACAGGAAGTAAAATAAAATAGGAAAAAGTCATATCGAATGGTTAAAATAATGTCCAAAAATAAAACATGAAATCACAACAATTTAATATTGCAAATACTTCCAACAACATTTTTTGTATCTCTCCGTACTTGCTCATGGTATTCTTGGTATGAGTTCCTAGGAAGGTTCTAATATATTTTAAACATATTGTTAGTATTATTTTATTTGGCAATTTGGCAAATTGGCAAATAAGTTAAAAGGAAAACAATAGTGTCTCAAATCGTGACAGATTGTGTACGCAGATAATTCCTGTGCTGTTTAGAAGATAATTATCAAAGTATAAAGAGCACGTTTATCCTCTTTCTTGACCTTAATCATGGTTTGACCAACTCTTAATCATAACTTAAAAATTTTATATACAGGGAATGACTTCAGTTCAGTAATATTATGCTATCACCTACCTTCTTTAAAAAGTTTGCTTCGACTTACATCCCATTTTTACTACTAGTACTAGACATCAAAAAAATGGTTTTTTTATTTTTATTTTTTATTAATAGATATCTCATAAGATATCGACCAGTAAAACAAATCTTATCTCAATCTCTCTTTTTATGAAAGAGCATTCAAAACGCCATCAATGGTGGTGTGTCAGGATAGTTTCCCAGGTTACAGCTTGAAGTGTCAATACAATTATTGGTCTTCAATTAATTTGTTTGCTTCTTCTGTGTTAATTTCAGTCTCCTAGACTAATTTTGTGAATAAACTCATGCTTAAGTAATATTTATAACGAAAAGGACAAACAAATTAACATGATGGTGTATTTATGCGCATAACCGCTCTATATGCATAATGCATCTGCTGCTTTTGAATTTCCATTCAAATTGTCGTTGCTTTAATGAGCTGGCTCCAGCCTATGCCTATCAGAAACACAGTCAGCCACACATCAGACAACACATGAACACAGTCATACACACGTTAGTAGTTAGTTATTTGTTATGCCTGGAAAAGTAGGGTTGATGTAGCGTCCTATCAGCATAAGTAATCAAACCTTAGGTCGGTCCTGTAGTCATTCAAATGCAGTCACGTGTCCAATCCCTGCATACGTCATGCAAATCTCTTGAGTAGGTAAACAACGAGACATAAGAAATGATTTGCACGGTAACCTGACCTATTTCCAGATTCAGCAATCATTACCTCAATACATCCTACTATAAATAAAGAGTTCATCTTCTGTTTGTGGGATTAGTTTATTTTTAGTCTGTAATAGCTTATTCTCTCTTTCTCCCATTTGTATTCTCAGTATTCTAAAGTCAGCTCGTTAACCGTAACCTAATCCTTCAAATGTAAATATAATATTAATAGACGTAGGATTCACTTGTTTAAGTATCCAAACCACTTAAAACATTATTTACCCACTTTTATACTCTCAATCTCTCATTTACGTATGTCTCTTAAGTCAATTCAGTATTTCTCATATGCGAGTAATTGGTGTTAAAATCGAATATAACAGTACTTAATTCTGTATTCATGACCTAGCATCGTTACAAGGTTGAAATTCCTTTCCTAACTAGTGAAAAATAAAGCTGTAGCCTGTAGGCCATTCCCAGCGCATTACAATTTCTTTAATTTTTATAATAATATCCTGTTGCATTGTGCTTTAATTTGTGTGATTCAATCATCACTCTCACACAAATCACTCTCACACAAATCAATAGTGTCTTCCTCCAGCTGCTAACTGACACAAAATTCAGTAATTAATTCAAGAAATTTTACGAACATCTCTTGTCGTCTTTTAATGATGAACAAGTGGCAATTAATTAAGCTAAGGCATCTCTTTCAACCTTACCTGCTATATGCATCGGTGATCGATCATATACGTATTATCAAAATTTCTTTCAAGTAAATCACATGCTACGGCAACTAGCCTCGGCTCCAACTCATGTCGCCATCATACCCTGCAACCTCCAACTCATGCCTAGCTAATAGTCCGAGAATAAACAGCTAATGCGTACGTGGATTCAATGTAAATGAGTCAAGGCTGAGTCAGACATGAGTGATAACCGATAAGATCTTTTTCATAGTTTGAGATTTAGTTTCTGACTTATCTTTCAAGTATGCCTCCATCCTCAATTTAGAGTTATCTGGAGCCTACTTAACAAATTGGTGTTATTTGTTTTATGTTTATACACTATGATTGGACGTTTGTACCTGTTTCTCTTTTTTGTTTGTTTAAGCCTGTATATTCTATTAGGGTGCTTGAACCATCTCCCTCCTTTGTTTAGAGCCTATGTGCTCTTTTTTTAGACAATTGTTCTCATCATTTTGTTTAAAAAGATAGATACATATGTTATATTTTTTTTTTTTTTTTTACCTCTTTCGGGTAATGTTCTTGGTTTTTTTTTTTTTTTTTTTTTTTTATAGTTTCTCCGCTTTTTGAAATTTACCTTTTCTTTAAAAAAAAAAGTCAATGGTCAATTTGAGTTTTAGGTATTTGTCCTCTTGAGAAATTTCCTCTCTGGTTCGTTCCTCTTTGCTTCGTCGACTCTAGGCTTGCCACATGCTAATTAAACGTCACTTATTGAATCTCCAATTTGCCACGCTGCCAGCCTATTGTAAATGCCCTAGTATGTAGGCCACTTGGCAAGTACTGACTACTAATTAAGTAAAACTTCATTGTTTTTTGAACTATACGTGGCACTTATATGTACACCGTAATTAAGAAAAGTTTTCCTCATGTATGTTATCGGTTTGAAACGTCATTGTTTTTTGAAAACGTTTTTGTTGCCAATCATAACCCATTGTATCTCTAGTAGTACGCTCACTATACTCAAAAAGTTATATAAATTGAGATAGATGAACGGGAGGAAGAGACTGTATTGACTCTGCACAACAATTAAGAAACAGCAGCAAATGTCTGTTTCAACCCCAATTCTCTCTGAATCCAAAACTGCCGAATTAAAATGCCCTCTATCTCTCGATGATACAATTGAACGGTACATAGGAGCTTTTAGCTGGAACCAGCTCCTGCAAGCCGTTCTTGTATCAGTTGCCTGGCTTTTTGATGCTCAACAATCATTTATAAGTGTCTTCACTGATGCTGAGCCCACATGGCACTGTACTCAGCTAGGGGACGAGTTTTGCAACCCAATACTCTCCAACGCTTGTCAACTTCCCAGGAATTCGTGGTCCTGGGATTTTCCGGTAAACACTTCAATCATATCAGAATGGGGTCTTGAGTGTGCAAGTTTATTTGTGAAAGGGCTACCAGCTTCGTCTTTCTTCATGGGTTGCCTTGCGGGTGGATTTATTCTATCCACTCTTGCTGACTCGTTTCTTGGTCGCAAAAACATGCTCTTTTTCTCATGTCTAATGATGTCTGTCTCTTGTCTACTTACCATGCTCTCCACCAATGTTTGGATATACTCAATATTGAGATTTGTCAACGGCTTTGGCCGCGCAACTATTGGAACATGTGCAATTGTTTTATCAACCGAGCTTGTCGGGAAAAAATGGCGTGGCCAGGTTGGTGCCCTTGGTTTCTTCTGCTTCACGCTAGGATTTTTATCCTTACCAGCCATAGCATATATAAATAGAGGTTCTTCATGGAGAACTCTCTATTTATGGACATCTTTACCAGCACTTGTGTATTGCATACTTGTTCATTTCTTTGTTCACGAGTCTCCCAGATGGCTTTTCCTGCAAGGACGCACTGAGGAAGCCGTATCGATAATAAGAAGTATTGCATCACCTAATCTGAGTTGCTTATCAATGAATTTGAGCAACGTTTTTTTCGAGCAAGAAGCATGGAATGTTGATCTTTACTCAGTAATCAAGGTTCTATGGAAGAAAAGATGGGCTCTTCGAAGGTTATCAGCAATAATGGTGACTAGTTTTGGCATTGGAATGGTGTATTATGGCATGCCATTAAGCCTTGGAAACTTATCATTCAATCTCTATTTGAGTGTCATCTTTAATGCACTATCAGAGGTACCAGCATCGCTAATCACATTCTTCCTTGTAGGAAAACTGAACAGAAAAGGTTCCTTACTATTCTTCACTATCCTAAGTGGAATTTGTAGCATAATGTGCGTCGTGACGGGCAAAATATGGACAACTCTACAAATTGGATTAGAGCTAGTTTCATTCTTCAGCGCAGTCACTGCATTTAGCTTATTATTCATATACACATTAGAGTTGTTCCCAACATGTGTACGAAACTCGGCTTTGTCAATTGTGAGGCAAGCGATTGTGTTGGGAGGTGTAATCAGTCCAGTTCTAGTGGCCGCCGGGAGAGAACATCAGTTTTTAACATATGGGATATTCGGATTGGTGATAGGGGTTTGTGGATTGTCTGTGATTGGTTTGCCGGAGACCAGAGGCAGAACACTTTCAGATACAATGGATGAAGAAGAATACAAATTAAAATCAGAGAGCTGCAGTTACGTCTAGATCCACAATTTATTGCTTTGTTTTTTTTATCAGTTTGCTACCCAATTGTCACATCCAACCTACGTGGCTCGAATATCTTGTGATCGTTTACATCTCTTTGAATTGCAGATCGATCTGCTATGGATGTAGAGCAAATAAAAATTCTTGGATGCATTATATTTATCTTGTCGAATGGAGAAAAATAATTCAAAGCCAAAATAGTTTGTATATTAAAATTTGGTTAAAGAAATTACAAAATTTTCTTATTGCCTTTGTTTTTCTTTTTAACCGGGATGTATAGGCCAACTTATACGCATATCAATTAATCTCCAAGAACATAAATGTGGTACGTAACTACTTTGTAAAACTCAAACATAAGACCTTTGAATAACTTACCCAAATGGACTATTTGACCACAAAGCTAGTGGTTTTTGTAAATATAACTGTGATGATTATGTGGCTTGAAATTACCACGATGGAGTCAACATTAGTCAAAGAAAGCAAATTCACAATCTAACTAAGACGGCATCGTTTTGGCTATCAAACTTAAGTGCCCTATCTGGCACTCGAAACCCATTCTGTTGCAACAGATTCATAGCTCATCTCTCTTTCTCTTTGGTCTCATTCTAGCCCTAGTTCTTCGCTCATGACAGAAGATTCTAGTGCCTATCTTCTCCCATGGATTGCAGATCATACTGGATAGCTGGACAATGATCAACCGAGTCTTGATGTGTATAAAATCAGACCAATATGTGCGACAGAAAACAGAGCAGTGAGAGGGCTTAATCGGGTGTGTTCTTTCTTGTATTTCTCTGGTTGTATACTCTTTGTAATCTTGGTTCTCTTGATTAATGAAATACCCTATAGTGTGCCTTGAAGAGTAGATGTATGCTACCTTAGCCGAACCACTATAAATCCCCTATGTCAATTTCTATTATGTTCTTTCATGCTTTGCTTAATCTCTGAATTGAATGCATGTTGATTGATAAGTTGTGTTAGCTCATTGATTGTTTTGATCAGCTTAGTTGATAACCCTAATTAGTCACAACAAATTGGTATCAGAGCCTAGTTTGAATCCTAATTAAGGTTATTTGAAATTTATTTTCTGTCGTTGCAAATCTTATTCCAAAAACATGTCCACTAAATTTGAACTCGAAAAGTTTACAGGGGACAATGATTTTGGACTCTGGAAGATGAAAATGGAAGCTGTGCTGATTAAAGAAGGACTAGCCTTAGCATTGGAAGGGGGATCTGAGTTGCCTGACACCATGACTAAAGTTGAGAAGCAGGATGTTCTCAACAAAGCTAAGAGCTCCTTGATCTTAGGACTAGGTGACAAAGTCCTTCGAGAAGTGAAGAAGGAGAAAACTGCTACTGAGATCTGGAACAGGTTAGACTCTCTGTATCAATCTAAAGTTGTCCCTAATAGATTGTTTTTAAAACAAAGACTGTTTAGGTTTAAAATGGATGAGCAAAAATCTTTAAAAGACAATAAGGATGATTTTCTGAAACTTATACAGGATTTAGAAAGCATATCAGTAGAGGTTGGTAATGAAGACCAGGCTGTAATCCTTCTAAATTCCCTACCACAACCTTACTCCAATTTTGTACAAACATTAAAATATGGTAGGCAGACCCTAAAATTAGAAGAGGTTGTAGAAGCCATTACAGCTAAGAATAGAGAGAACAAAATGACTTTAGGCAGTGATGGGGAAGGTCTCATGATAAGGGGTACATCAGAGAAGAGAAACTGGAAAAAAGGGGGACGCAATAGGAATAGATCTAAGTCCAAAACTGGGAAATGGAAGTGCTTCTTCTATCACAAAGAAGGCCATCTTAGGAGAGATTGTCCTAAGAGGAAAAATAAGAAGAAGTATGGAAAGGAGGAAGAGAAAGGCAGTGCTGGTGTTGTGTTTGAAGGTTATAAAAGTTCAGAGATACTAGTCATCTCTGAAGGTAGAAATAGTGAGGAATGGATCTTAGACATAGGATGTACCTACCACATGACACCAAATAGGGAGTGGTTTAGCTCTTTTCAAACTGTAGATGGTGGAAAAGTTGTGATGGGAAATAATGCAGTATGTGGCATTAAGGTCATAGGTACTGTTAAGCTAAGCCTTCACAATGGTCTAACCAAAACCCTCACCGATGTAAGATATATGTAACGCCCCACTTGAGATATGTAGGCATTGTTTATGGTATGGCCTAAAGGGTTATTGAATTGCCCCTAAATGAGTTTGTATATTGTTCATGTTGTTTGATTGGCCCTTGGTTGAGTTTATGTTTTGGGTTTGGTTTAGTGTTTACCCTGGAATTGATCAAAACTTAGCAGATTTTGGAGTTACAGTCTTCGCCGGAGTGAAGAATAGTCTTTGCTGTGGCGATGTTGGTTTTGTGTATGGCGGTGTCGGTTCTGTAATTCTTTGTCGAGGCGACAGAGAATCCTTTGCCGCGGCGAAGGGCCGGCTAAGTTTTTTTTTTTAGTTTCTAGAGAATTCTTTCCTAAGGGCAAAATGACCATTCTACCCCTAATTAGCAAGAAAAGTGGGGAGTAAAATGCAAGGAAATTTCATGGAGAATAGGTTAGTGTAGGGGTGTGAGTGTAATGAATCAAAGGATAAAGGTGGAATTTTTAAGAAAGAGTAAGGGCAAAATGGGAAAGAGTGTTTATTATATGAGCTAATAAGAGTTTAGTTCTCTAAACCCCTTCATTTCACCCATTTCCATCGCCTCTTCATCTCTCATTTTCTCTCAATTCCTCACTCAATCTTCCAAGGGATTTTTGAGAGTTTTGAGTTTGTATTTGACAAAGAATTTATCCTAAGCAAGAAGAGGTAAGAATCCCTACTCTAGATATGAGTTTTATTTATGTAAGGGTTAAGTTCTTACTAAGTTTATGCTTAAGAAATGAGGGAAAGCTAAGGTTCAATAAGAGTAGAGAGTTTTATTGAAGACTACTCAAGTATGAGGTAAGTAAATCCAACTCAAGCTAAAATTTAAGAAATTCTTGAGTAGAGATTTATTTATGTATGTATATATGATGCTTGTTGAGAAATTGAGTAGAGATATATTTCTACTTGTTGAGAAATTACGTTGAGAAGAGTATTTATGTTATGTTTGTTGGATATTTCCTTTATGGGAAGTGTTGATGTGTGATGAGTTTGAGATGAAGTTGGAGGAGATTGAGTAGATATTTTGGGAGTGTTCTTCTATGATAGGAACCATGTCCATAGAAGGGAGTTTCCTCCCATTTTGGATGGTTAAAAAGAGAAGTATAGTTGTAGTTAGAGAAGAGGTTTTTATGCACATGAGTTGCTTGATGAAATGCCTAAGTGAAAACATGTTACCAAACTGCCCTGTCACAGCCGTAACTTTTTGAGTGATTTTTGGATATCTTACGGATTGAACTAGGTTTAGACTAAGATATAAAAGTTATAGCCCTGTCTCTAAGCTTTAAAACGAGACAAAAATTGTAGCAATCTGATGTGTATAACTCAAGTTATGCCTTCTTGAGTGTGACCTGTGCAGAATGACTATCTTTGATGCAACATTGTATTTGTGCTTTTCATAAGAGCATTAATGAGCATAAACCATCCATATGCATTAGTTATGCATTTGAGAAGTAGCTTGAGAAAGAGTAAAGAATTTTTAGTATAAGCTATACTATGAGTAATAGCTTGAGAAAGAGTAGAGAATTTTGAGTATAAGCTACACTATGAGTAATAGCTTGAGAAAGAGTAGAGAACCTTGTGAATGGACTACTCTAAGAGTTAAGTTATACTATGAGTACTAGCTTGAGAAGGAGATGAGTATTAGCTCGAGCAAGAGTAGAAATCTTTGTAAATAAACTACTCTAAGAGGAAAAGAAGAGAATATAGTAGGTTGTGCGATGGGGAACCCGTGAGTGATGAGTAAAGTCATGAGAATGGGTGCTTTGTGATCCCCAGCCGTGCCTCCAGTTAGATGGGGCCGTGAGTCCGTGACATTCAGAGAGAGAGAGAGAATACACTCACGTGGCCAAGAGTTCCGAATCCATGCATGACCGAGTCCAATCGGCAGAGAATGAGTAGAAGTCACGAAGAGTGGGTTGGTGCTTTGTGATCTCCACCCAGCGTGTCTCCAGTAAGATGAGGCCGTGACATGCAAGTGAGGAAGAATGAGCAAACATGGGAGAGAATAAAGAGAGACAATGAGTAGGGTTACGAAGAGTGGGATAAGTACCCAGCCGTGCCTCCGGTAAGATGAGGCCGTGACCTACAACAGAAAGTTAACAGAAAAGAGTTATGAGAAAGAGAGACAGAAAGAGAATCAATAAAAGTCATGTAGAGCAGGAGAAGTCCCGGCTGTGCTTCCTGTAAGATGGGGCCGTGACATTCAAAGAGCGAGTTAGTATAAATGAATTGTGTGAAATGAGAATGAGATAATAGAGATAATTAAAGAATGAGAAAGCTTGAGAAAGAATGAGATAGAAAGAGAGAGAGTATGAGAAAGAATGAGAGAGTTTGAGCTAGTAAGAATAGAAAGTAGAAGAAAGAAACATATAGTTCTTTTGCATTAGTTGCATGTACATCTCATACATGCATGCACCATGATTTCTTCCATGGTTAGTGAGAGTATGACGAGAATAAGATAGAGAACCATGATTTTCCTTCATGGTGAGTATGATGAGAACAAGAGAGAACCATGATTTTCCTTCATGGTGAGTAAGAATAAGAGAAGAACAACAGAGAGAAAGAAAGAATAAAAAGAGCAAAACAGAGTTAAAGGAGAATAAAAATATTAGAAAGAAAGAGAAAAACAGTGAGAATTCGAAATAGAAGAACGATAGAGTAAGGAAAGAACCAAAGAGTGAGTTACGGGGACAGGTAGTAGAGGATTTACTTACTGAGCATTATTGTGCTCACCCTGTTGTTCTTCCCTGTTTTGTAGGAAATAGGAGCAGCAGTCGGATGGACGTCGAGGAGCGGAGAGTATTGGCGCCACTGTCCACCAGCTTTGATATTTTGTATTAATTAGAAAGTTTTTAATACATAGTCTTTGGTATTTGTAAAGAATTGTATTTTATGAGTAAAGAAAAAATTTGAGTCCACTGTCTTTCATACGCTATGTATATCTATAATTTACATAGTATGTATTATAAGAATAGTAGTAGAGAGCAGGTGTTACAATATATTACT